TTTACAAAATTTTTGAAAATTTATGCTGAAAATTATGTCTATAAATGTACAAGGTCTAAATACACGGTGGAAAAACCAAATGCTTTACGATTCTTTGGTCTCTAACCAAATACAAATAGCTTTTCTCCAAGAAACGCATTGGCTGCGATCTGAGTCGCTAAAATGGATGGGGCATAAATATAAATATATATATCATGCATCTCTCTTAAATAACAAAAAATCTGGAGTGGCAATTATATTTGATTCTAATTTAAAACTTGACGTAAGATTAATAGATAGTGACCCTAGTGGCAGATTTCTTATAATTATCTGTAAAATAGAATCTATAACCTACACATTGGTTAACATATATTTACCAAACATTAATCCAACTGCCCTGTTTTCAAAAATCATGAATAGATTAGAAAATATAACAATAGGTACTTTGCTGATAGCAGGCGATTTTAACTGTGTTTTTGACCCAATAATGGATACAAAAACCCATATTCAATTAAAATCTGAAAGCCAGCTATATAAACAATCTAAAACCCTGTCTAATTTATGCGCTATGCACGGTCTGTATGATGTCTGGCGGGTAACACATCAAGACTTACGGGACTATACGCATTTGTCTCAATTACATAATTCGTATTCACGAATAGATTTATGCTTAGTAAAAGCTAATACTTTGAAAGAAATTAATACAATCCAAATTAAAGATAATACTTGGTCCGATCACAGTTTTCTTATATTGGAAGTAGGTAGGGTCTTGCAGAGATCTATGGACTCCTGGAGAATGGACGACTCTCTTTTTAAAGTTAAGATAAATCAAGATACTATAATTAAAGTCTCAAGGTTTTTTTGGCTTGAAAACTCCACTCCTGATATTCTTGATTCTACTTTATGGTCTTCATATAAAGCGGTTATTAGAGGTTATCTTATTAAAATCGAAAAACAATCCAAAACTATGATAAATAGAGACCTAATAGACTTAAATATTCAATATTCTAATCTGTCCAAAATGAATAAAGAGTCTTCAACCATTCAATTAAGATCATTACTTCTAGAATTACAAAAACAAATCAACTTAAAGACTGAAGAAAAGATTAGAAAAATAATTAATAAATTGAGATTAAATACTTACCATCAAAGTAATAAAGCAAATAAAAATTTAACCAAAAGATTAAAAAAGCAAAATTAAAATAATAGGATCAATAAACTGGTTAAGGATCAAATTACATACTCCTCACCAGAAAAAAATGGGCAACTATTTAATGAATTTTATAGTAAATTATACGATCTGGATATATCATCAGACAGTCAAGATATTAAAGAATATTTGGATAATACTGATATTCCAAAAATTAACAATCAAGAGCTAGCCCAACTTAATCATGAGTTTACGATAAATGAGATCGAAAGAGAGATTGATAGACTTCAATTAAATAAGACTCCTGGACCGGATGGATTTACTAATCTTTTCTATAAAGTAATGAAAAAAGAGATAACTGTTCCCTTAACGGCTCTTTTTAATGAAATGGCCAAAACATCTAAAACACCAAAGGAGTTGATACAAGCCAATATCCTTCCAATATTAAAACCAAATAAAGACCCAACAAATGTTAAAAATTACAGACCAATCTCTTTAATCAACACAGATATGAAAATATATGCAGCAATATTAACAGCCAGATTAAAATCACTTGTTGAGAGAGTCGTTCATTCTGATCAGGTCAGTTTTTTGCCAGGTAGATCTTCTGATACATGTACTAGAAGAATAATCAACATTTTGGATGGTGCACTCCATCGGGAGATTCCGCTGCTGACCCTCTCATTGGATGCCGAGAAGGCCTTTGACAGGGTCAGTTGGCGCTTCCTCGACGGGGTGCTGACCTCTTTTGGATTTATAGGTTGGATTCATGATGCCATTTTGGCACTTTACTCCGAACCAACAGCTAGAACTGTAGGAGTAAATATTCAATCAAATTGGTTTAGTCTATATAATGGCACATGCCAGGGCTGTCCTCTATCGCCCCTTCTTTATATTTTAACTTTAGAACCCCTAGCTATTAATATTAGGAATAATTTGAATATTATAGGTTTTCCAACGAAAACCTCAGAAGCAAAAATATCACTTTATGCTGATGATATATTATTAACACTCATTTCCCCAGAATCCTCTCTTCCTCAAGCTTTATCCGCTATAAAAAGTTATTCTAAGGTATCCAATTATAAACTTAATATATCTAAATCAATTGCTGTAACTACTAATGTTGACACTTGTAGTTTAAAAGCTCTACGGGAGAATTATGATTTTATATGGACCAATAATGTTTTTAATTATTTGGGCGTGATAATTTCACCTCAAGTTAACGATATTATGGAAAAAAATTTATTGAATCTCCTAAAATACACAAATATAAAATTAAAAGAATGGCGCCTAACCGAATCCTCTTGGATCGGTAGGATTAACATAATTAATGCTTATATTATGCCCAAATGGTTGTATTTATTTAGGATGATTCCTCTTCAAATTCCAGATATCTGGTTAACCATGATACAATCTAGTTTTCAAAAATTTATCTGGAAAACGACAAGGCCTAGATTAAGCTCTAAAGTTCTCTCTAGGAAACCCCAAAATGGAGGTATAAACTACCCAAATATTAGAAATTCTTATTATGCTAACATTATTGGTCATATATATAAACTTCAGGTTTAATCATTTAAAACAGACACATGGTACCTAATTGAATCCGAGGCAGTTGGAAAAGATAGATTGGAAATGCTTTTATGGCTTAAAAACAATAAAAAAACGATGGAATTTTTATGTAGTAAATCATTAATTTTGTCTCAAATTATCAGTGCTTGGGAGAGGATAAAAAAACAAAAAGAAATCTCCGATAAAATAATTAAGTCATCTCATTTGATCATTTTAGAAGATAATATCAAAGATATTTCTTTAAATAAATGGTCTAAATTTCAATGGACGATTGGGGATATCCTCTATGATGACCAAATTTTACCGTTTGTGGATATTCAAGTTAAACTCCTTCTCCCTAACAAAGAATTTTTTTCTTATTTAAGAGTCAAAAATTTCTTGAATAAGTTTTTACTAAATACGTCACCAAAAATTGATATTCTTCTTCAATCCATTTTTAGATATACTAAGGTTAAAAAAATTCTTTCAAAAGCTACTAACTTGATATCCATTCTTGATCAACAACCTTTAAAGATACTTGATAAATGGAAAAGTATCTTAAGGAGTGAAATAACTGAGCAAGAATGGTGTATGTCTCTTAAAGACACCCGTAAATATATTCATTGTCAGATCTTACTTGAATGCCAATACAAGGTTATGTATGAATGGTATCTGACTCCATATAAATTAAGTAAGATGTATCCAGGTCAAACTCCTCACTGCTGGCGATGTGGTTTTCCAGAGGGAACACTTGTTCATATATGGTGGCATTGTAGTTTGGTTAAAAATCTTTGGGAGTGGTCCTTTGAAATACTCAAATGTTTATTTAATATTACAATCAAAAAAGGCCCAGACACAGCATTGCTACATTTAAACTGGAAACTTTCTTCCACTTCTTCTAAATGCCTTGTAAACCACTGTTTTTTTAGCAGTAAAAATAATAATAGCAAGACAATGGAAGTCACATCTTCCTTTTTTGAGGAGTCAGCTTGTTAATCAAATTTTATATCAATTTCAAATGGAAAAAGATCTACCAGTTCCCTCTATACCTTCTGCAAATAAACAAGACCAATACATTTATTGGATATGAACCTTAGAAAATAAATGAATTATTTTCTTGTATTTTCTCCTTACTCAGAATTTGATAGATTCCAATAGAAAACCTCACCACGGAGATATTTTTCTTTCCAGATGATCAGACTGACCCTAGCCCATATTTATATTTATATATTTATATTTATATATCTATTTCTATTTAGATAATGGTTCTATAAGATATGAATTACTTTTGTATTGAGAGATTTTTAGTTTTTTAACTTGGGATTCATCTAATATATAGGAATAGAACATTTGTAACAATGTAAATTATATGTTTTGTTATTGTTACACTTGTCTTTGTCTTGTATGTAAATTTCACTTTTTGTTAATGTATGATAAAATGAATTAATAATAAAAAATAAAGAGGAAAAAAAAAGCCAATATGATAACCCATATCTATAGATCCCAACTGTTGTCCTCTAGAGAGGAACCCTGGTGGTGAATGCAATCTTGTAGAGGTTAAAAACTGGGATGTACTGATATGGAATCCTAAAAGAAAAAAAAAAGAGAAGAACATGATGAGTTGAAATAATAGCATGGTAGTTGAAAATCTAACATACGAGTTGGAAAATGTAAAAAGAAATATGAAAATGGATAAAATAACCCTGCCGTATCTCCAGATAGATATATTAGAACAATTTATTGGGGCTTTTAGCAAACCTGAATAATGGCTTCACAGCCTGCAATTACCTGCTAGGCCACAGTCTTATTTGCAGCCCCAGAGCGCAGGGCCGCACATCATACAACTAGAAAAGGTTGAGGCCGAAGCTCTCCAATCAGAAAGCACAGGCACTTTATAGCCCCTATTCCTCCACACAGCCCCCCCCCCCCAATCCGTAACACCTGGAAATCTGGCAAAGCTGACAAAATAAGAGTTACAGGATTTGCACTGTTTATGTACTGTTACTTACAAGCATTCCAAAGTTCAAGACAGCATGCCAAGGTCTCTGTGCAGTTGGATATATATGTTCCTGTACTCCTGAGGGACAGCCCAGCCCCCCTCCTTCCCAGAAAGAGAGACTGAGGGATGGGGTTAGGGGCGTGGTGTGGGAGTTGGTTCTGCACTGTTTATGTTGATGTACTGTTGATTTTCTCTCACTCAATGCCAACCCAGAGACATCCCCAATAACCTTATGGGCTGCACACAAAGCAGTCATTAGGGGACACTTAATTAGCCTGGCAATGGCAAAAAAAGCTCCAACGACAACGGCAACTCACAGATGTCATGACTGAACTACGTCGTACAGAAACAAGGCACAAACAAGACCCGCGAAAGTCCACTCTGACCCAACTAAACGCCATTAGAGATCAGGTGAAACAACTCACACAGGCTGGCACAGAGAAAGCCCTCAAGTGGCTCAAACAAAAATACTATGAGAAAAGAAATAAAGCTGACTTTATGCTGGCACATTGCCTCAAACATGGAGTGGAATCAAAATGGATAGACAAAATGCGCACCCAATTGGGACAACGTAGCAAGGTCCCAGAACGAATAGGGGAAAGAGTCCAGAAATATTTCACAGCCCTGTACAACCACACCCCCTCCCTAACACCGGATGATGTTTCATACCGGGCGGGCATTAATACCTTCTTAGACAAACTTAACCTTCCCACCCTTCCCCAGATAACTAAAACGGCAATAGCAGCGGTAGTAACAACAGAAGAAATGGCGGTGGCCCTCAAAATCTTCAAGCCCAACAAGAGCCCTGGCCCAGATGGGTACAGAGCCTTGTACTATAAAGAATTCTCCTTCCACATCTCACACAAGTATTCAACGCCTTGCTGAAGGGAGATACACTCCGGGAAGACATGATCACTGTACATATATGCATCCTTCCAAAACCAAACCAGGACCATTCAGAACCTGAACATTACAGACCTATCTCTCTCCTCAACGTGGACCTCAAGATACTAACCAAAATAATGTCTCTTACCTAGAATCTGGGTCCACCCAGACCAGGTGGGGTTCATCCCTAACAGGCAAGCATTGGATAACACCCGCCGAAGCATAGACCTGATATGGATAGCGCAACACAGAAGAATTCCAATGGCAGTCATTTCGCTACACGCCAAAATGTGATTGATCACCTTTTATGGCCGATTCTCTTCCAAACCCTTGCATGCTATGGATTTCTGATGACTTTCACATCCTTCCTACATGCCATTTATCACAAGCCGCAAGGAGCACTCCTCCTCCCTAACATAACCCTGCCATGCTTCCTAATCACCAATGGCACTAGGCAGGGATGCCCTCTCTGGCCCCTTCTTTTCGCCATCTCACTTAAACTCTTACTACAGGCAATGTGCGCCAGCCTGGAGGTCGAGGTAATGCGAGTACGGGGGGAAACATTTAAAAGTCGCAGCATATGCGGATGACATTTTGCTAACAAACCCCGAAAAATCCATAGCGGCCATTTTGACCCTAATACAGACCTATTCTGCACTAAGCGGATACAAGTTAAACTTAATAAAATCATAACTTCTACCCATTCACATCGACAGACCACGCCTAGATCACATAAGAGAATTATTCCCATTTTGCACATGCCACACAGCCATCACATACCTGGGTACCCAACTAACAAACAACGTTGCAAACCTTTATGAGGCGAACTACACACCCCTACTGCAAAAAGCACACAAAGACCTGGTGCATTGGCGCACCCTGGTTATATCATGGATGGGTGGATCTTGAACACATGATATTCGGTTGGGACCACCCATCCCTATACATGTGGCTACCTAGACCACAGCGATCTCTGCCCACCCCCCAACAGCCCCCACCATCACCTACTCACTAGACTTATGGGACAAAATTAAGGACAAATTTGAGTTGTCGTCCTTTCTATCCCCAATGTTCCCCATTTGGAGAAACAAGCTCTTCCCGCCGGGCCTCAACTGGCACATTTTGCTAACTTTGAAAAGAGAGACATCTCTCGGTTGGGCTACCTGTATCCCAGTAACAAAATCATAGAATATAGCGACATACCCAACAATAACACCCTTACAATGTTCGACTACTTTAGATACATACAACTCAGTAGCTTTGCATCCACACCCATTATCAAGCAGGCAGACATGGCCCCCTTAACACAATTCAAACTGTATTGCATAAAACACCCCTCTAGACAGGGAAAATTTCAGACCTATACTCCACCATAGCGACTCATCCAACACAAATAACTCTCCCCTACATAACAGCATGGGAGAGAGACCTGGGCCCTCCTGATGATCCCTCCATTTGGACATTCGGGAGGCCACGGCCTCCATATTCATCTGTGTGATGTATAAGGAAAAGGCTTACAAAATATTATTTCACTGGTATTTAACACCCCAGCTACTAGCCACGATGCACATAGAACCAATCAATCAATTCTGGAAGGGGTGCGGAGAGGTGGGGACTTTCCTCCATTGTTGGTGGACATGCCCCAAACTACGGCCTTTATGGCAAAACATCACATCACTAATCACCAGACTATTTGACAAACCATGTCCCTTGGTTCCATGGATGCTGCTCCTATGCAAACCCTTGGACACCTTCACTAGAGCAAGTTAATCGCACGCATAGCATTGGCAACACGTAGTGCAATAGCGGAACTATGGTCCACACTGCACATATCCTCACACACCATCATAGCCCAAAAGATACAAGACAGCGCTAACATGGATAGTCTCACAGCTCAGATACATGAAACACCCGAACAATTCCATAAGACCTGGAATCCATGGCTAAATGGAGATACTACAGCACCCTGGTAGATATTATACAATTTAAGACCAGTTGATTTGAGATGAACCTAAAGCCCCCTCCACTATGGCACAACGTAATCCGGGCAGAGTGCAGCCTTCCCTCCCACCAAAACCCGCTCCCCCTCACCTCACCCAGGAAGGTCCGGGGGGCCAGGCAATATCCCCCTGACCTCACAGCTGCCCTTAACCCTCTCGAGCCCACAGCAACCCCACTCCTTTCGACCCTCTTCTGACTTCCCTCTCCCCCACCCTACACAGACCACACATACACTCATCTATGCAATCACTGACTGACCCAAGATCCAAAGCGGGCCAAACGTGTCTTGGCTACACCAGGACTGCATGTAATTAGCTCAATCTAGTATGACTACCCGCCACAACGAAATCTCAAAAAAAGTATCCTTGCAAAAGGAGTACATTTTATAGAGAAAGCAAAACTGGAGGAGACATCTCGGCCATGCACAGAAACAAAACAGGGACACAGAACAGACAATAGAGATACTAGCCCCAGTGTAACCCTGAAAATGTAAAAATTCTATGCATAGGATTGTCCTTTGTCCTAACTTGTTTGCCAGGAAGCTGTCCCTATACAAAAGGCCCTATTAAATTTTGTTTTGACTCACAACTACTAGCTTTTTAATAATACTTAACTACCTCCAGTTGAGGGGTCTGCCATGGACACAGCATGTACCCCCTCATAATTATGACAGTCACCTCCTATGACAAGTTTAAATCATTATTGATTATTATAAATTATGTTTGCATCTTTTCTTTAGGTGGTATATATTGAATGAATGTAATCTATCCTAATTGTGAGATTCTTACTGTTTAGTTGATCTTACACCTTTGTATATATACAAAGTGAAGTTATTGCAAAGATATTTGGAATGATGTCATTAACTTCTTAAATTCATACTACACGAGATAAAGAAAGATATATAAAAGTTTGAAATGGCAAATAATAATAACCATAAAAGTTCTCTGAGTTCACTCTAGAATGAGTGCTTCTCATAATACCTTAGTATTATCTTGATCATTATCTGAAACTTTTAGTTCATCTCCCTATAGGATGAACACTGTTGTTTCTTACTGAGACTGAGGGTAACTGAGGTACGACATCAGGATATTTACTCATTGCAAGGTATTTCTGATATTTGTAACATTTAAATGGTTTTTCTATATAGTGAGGTACATTAGCATTATATACATCTACAGTGAGGATACCTGTAACGTGCCTCCACCTTATGGCCATTGGTATAATTCTTTAAGGAGAGTACAGATCTTACTAATATAAATGAGAGGGATATATGAGTGGAAAGTGAATTGCTCTTCTGCTTCTCCCCCACTGCTCCCCATCTCCCCTGACGTCAAATAAAGAATTAAAATCCCTTTTTACACTCACAGGGTCCCTCTCCTCCCACTCTGACATCAGTGCTGAGGGTAATCTAATGTGCATGCACGCTCATTAAGCCTTCCCCATAGGAAAGCATTGATTCACTGCTTTCCTTTTGGGGGATTTGAAGAAGCTTAATGTCCTCTTGCAAAGCACAAGGATAAAACAGCAGGCAGCGCCTGTCTGGAAGGAAGTCACTAGAGACAGTCTTAACTCTGGAACTGCAATGTTTTAGATTACTGGGATAAGGGAACAGGGACAGTGCATCCAGACAACTTCAATGAGATAAAGTAGTTTGGGTACTTATAATTTCCCTTTAAATTGGTTTTTGAAGTTCCTGCTTTATAATTTTCCTTCCAAGTGAGAGAAAATGATCTTTTTAAGAGTTATGCCCTTGGTTGGAGATAGAGGCCCTTTTTCTTTTTGTTATTTTTCTTTTAGGCATTGTAACACAGAGCAGCTATTTTCATTTTGTGTGAAATATGATATAGTAGACTTATAGTGCATGGCATGATTGTTCAGTTGAGCTGAACAATTTTCCCTGAAACTGAAATTTGTTTCAGGATGTACAATGCCATTTGCTACTCTATTATTGTCGTAATACTTATACCCCACGTGGGGAATCAATGCCAAGATAAACTATGAATTGTCCTCTACTGTTTCAAAAAATGTCTACTGTTTCAAAAATTCTTTCCTGCATGTCTAAAGTGGAGTTCCACCACATTCTGACATACTATTGTATGGACAATTCAGATATACAACCAAATAAAAAATATGCATTAAAAATGCATGTTGTCATTGGGATTATATCTACTTAATAGTGATTTGTTTCTTTATATGGGCACTGGAGTGTTATTTTCATTATATAATTAGCTCATTGGCCAATTCATCAGTGGTAAACTAATATGTATGAAAATAATCCCAAACATTTATATATGAGATTATTTCCAGTATTACAGTGATTCAGCTGGTGAGGCCGTTGATTGTGGGTACATGGCTTGGACCTGATGAATATGATGTGACTGTTCCAAGCAATGGGCAACTGCTTGATTTAGCTCAGTTAGTTTTAGCCCCATGGTCACCATTCTATTTCTTCTCTATTACCAGGTAACGTTTGCTTTGTCATCAGGCACTAAATTGTGCTCTGACAAACTGGCAGAACACAGTGTAGAAAAAATTTAAATGAAATATGGAAACTCAAAACTCAAAAGTAAATCTATTCAGTCTGCAAATCAGAGATAATTATAATGGATGATGTTAAAAAAAATCTGTTGTGAACATTTACATTTTAATATTTTCTAGAAATTAAAATATGAATTTACATATAAGCAATAAAGTAAAAATCAAGCAATACAATTATATCACAACACATGTAATTGAAAAATATGCATTTTATAAATCATATAACTGTTTAATAGTAAAAGAAATCTTATAGATTGGTTTCAAGGCTAGTCAAAGGATTTGTAAAAGCTCTCTTCTTCCAGCTGACTTTCTTTTTTAAATTATTCAACACTGAACCAAGGCAATGGAATGGTTTGATAGTGTAGATGTATAATGAAAATTTGCAGTATTGAAA